GAACTTATGAAGGAGGCCGCAATCTCGGAGCTTAAAGACGGAGTCAAAACGCGTCGTTTCTGGGACGTTCCAGCTGGGTCACGGCCTAGTCACGCTGTGACCATCGCGTCACGTCATGGAGGCCTTGACCGCCATCAACTTTCTAAAAATACCCCTTGTTAGAATATGACTTGAATTTGATTTGGGTTTGTTTTGTGTTTGGCCTATTTAGTTTGGCTTTGTGTTTGGGCTTTGTTTGACCTTTTCCTTGTATGTTTGGGAAAAGGTGTTTGGTTTTATGTTTGGGATTAGGAGAAGAGTTCTATAAATACTCTTCATCACCCTAGTCTATAGTAAGGTCAGTCAGGTTAGTTTGTTTGGTTTGTCCGTTTGGAATTTGGTTTGTAACATGTACTCTCCTCAAATCAATGAAATTTGTTCCCCCCTGCCCGTGGATTAGCTAGCACACATTGTGTTAGTGAACCACGTTAAATTTGTGTTCGTTCGTGTTGGTTTGGATTATCGATTGCACGCTTCTGTTCTGACACCCCTCTTGCTGCACTTTTCAAAGGAGAGCCATCCTAGAGTGAGAAAGTTAGGGTTTTAGAGTGTTTTTAGAGAGAGAAACACCTTGGGAGAGTTTCATTGAATATCCAATCAACCCAAGGAGCAAGGAGAAGAAGTTTGATTCCATCACTCCCCTATTCTAATTTGTGTTTTCTTTCTCTCTCTAATGACTTGAATCTCTAATGATTGTTTATTAAACCCTAGATTGTATGTTGGTATTTCAATGAGTTTATATATATGAGTATGTTGTTCTAGTGATTTTATGCCTCATGTGTAGGTAGTTATGCTTGGGTAGGTTGCCCTAAGGGTTCGGATACTATAACAACACCCATAGTGTTGTTATAGTAACAACAGGAGTAAAAACGGAAACTCAATAATAAATAAGAAATTAAATTAGTAATTACCCCACCTGCCCACCCCATACCCTTCTCTCTTCCCACTCGATTCTTCTTCTCCCCTGTTGCCGGCGCCATCGCGCCAGCTTTTCAGCCGGCTGATGAGAATGGAGACAGGCGATTCTTCACTTCTTTGTCTCTCCACATCCCAACTCGGGTCGGCTTTCCCAGTTTTCGATGAGATCTAAAACATGATAAAAATTGCCGCCCCGATCTCCTCCTCCACTACCAGATCCTGATCTATTCCCCGTCGGTAGCTTCTCTTCCACACTGGGATTGCTACTCTCCACGCCGCCAGATTTCCAGCGACATCAACAACGACCACAATCCCTCCAATAGCGCCAACAATCGTCGACGATTGAGCCGACGACGGGAATAGAGATTGAATTGGCGAAAATGGCTGGAACAGACGACGAGAACAGAGACTGGATTGGCAGATCTTTCTCGATTCAGTTCCTTCTCCCCTCAGATTTGCTGTTGAGGCTGTGGAATCCACAATAAGAGTATAAGATACGAAGAAGGTGAAGTTGGCGCTAGTTGAGTGGTCCTTCTCCGGCAATGACAATGATCGGTGAGGCGTCAACGATGTGGCGGTGATGATGACGGAAAGGGCGAGTGCCACTCATTGCCTGTTTCTGCCTAAATTTGCATGCTTTGGTGAAAAACGATTGAAGGCTAATTAGGGATTTCAGTTTGTAAAGAAAAGGAAAGGTTGAAAAACAGAGATGAGATGAAGAAGACGATGAGAAGGAGTTTTGATCATATTTCTTATCTCAACTAAATGGGCCAAAAGTGAAGCAAGGGCCCACTAATGATGAACAAAGAAATGAAATAAAAGAATAGACTTTAGGCCACAATTTTTCTTTATTAAAAAAAAAGAATTTGATTCTACTCTGTGTGTTACAATTTTTCCGGTTTTATGAGTTGTTGACTTGTTGTACAATATTAAGATGATAATAGTTGGAATATAAATTTATTTCTAAGGAATGATTTGGAGCATTACTAATGTTATAAGCACACAAGAAATCTCCTAATACAAATCACAGACATGGTAACATAAACCACAAAAAATATATTAGAAACCTTCTGATATATACCACAAGTCTCTTAAAACATACCAGAAACACCATAAAAGCAAACCAAAAATATTTCTAAAGCACACCGAAATCTCCTAGTACAAACCACAAAAAAACACCTTAAACCTCCCAATGCATACCACAAATCAGCTAAAACAAACCAGAAACCTCACTAAACAAACTATAAATATTTCATAACCACACCAAAAATCTCACAATCCAAAACCACAAACACGATAGAGGAAATCACAAAAAAAGCAAACCAGAAACCTCCTAATGCATACCACAAATCCCCTAAAACAAACCAGAAACCCGATAAAGCAAACCACAAAAATTTAAATAGCACACCAGAAACCTCATAATGCAAACCACAAGCACGGTAAAACAAATTACAAAAGCAAACCAGCAACCTTCTAATGCGAACCACAAATATATTAAAACAAACCAGAAACCTCACAATGCAAACCACAAAATTTTTGAAAGCAAACCTGAAACTTCTCAATGCAAACCACAAACACGATAAAGCAAACCACAAAAGGCATACGAAAATATGAGAAACCAAACCATAAATCTCACAATGTAGACCATACATATGGTGGTCGTTGACCGGTTAACGAAGTTCGTTGACCGAACTCCGGTGACCGTCAGTCAGCAGATTCCGCCGCCGATAGGCATATTCCGGCCACGATGACTAGATTCCGACGCCGGTAAGCATATTCCTACCGCGGTGAGCATATTCCGGCGACAGTGGCATATTCCGATGACAAAATAGCATATTCCGACGACAAAAAGCATATTCCGGTGACCGGCGACCAGTTTCCGGCGACCGGTAGCAGAACCGTGCGGTTATCGGTGAATAACCGCACCGCTCATCGGTGCACCGCACTAACCGCTTCTTGCGGCCTCAAGGGTCTCTAGTGAGGCGGATGGGTAAAGAAACACCGGGAGACTTGAGTTGGAGACTTGGAGTGGGGACTGCGGATCCGTGAAAGCGCTTGGGTAGTCGCCCTCCGTCCTTGATGAAGCTGTTCGAGGTCGCCGGAGATCTGCAAATCGGCAAACCTGCAGGATTCAAACGCGAGTGGTGACCTCCCTGTCGCAATCAAACATCACCTCCTCGTAACTCGTCGCCCCGTCGGCGGCTTTCCTCGTCCTCCTTCCTTTGCTGCCGGCCGTGGGAAGAGTGAGAACACCTCCGGTCTTCCTCCCTGCATCTCACTTGCCTTCAACTATGAGCAATCGAAGATTGCATGGAAATCGAGATTCACAGCAACTACAAATTAAACCCAATCCCATATGCAATTCGAAGGATCCGGAAAAAGAACGAGAGAGAGAAGAGAAAAGGAAAAAAGGTTTTCTATCTCTATCTCTATGGTATGGATTTTGGATTTGGATGATCTTTGATTTTCTGGAAATATGAGAGAGAAAGAGAGAGATACGGGAGTTGTTGAGTGGGGATATGAACAATGGGGCTTTATTTGGGGAAGAGAGATACACTCCCGTCTCTTTTATTTATTCTCTTCGGTTACGGTGTTTCAATTAACCGCACCGCACATTTGCGGTGTCGGCTAACCGAAAATTTTTCGGTCACGGTTTCGGTTGGTGTTCCAGGCATATTCTCGGTGGCGGTTAACCGCTACATTCAGCTATTTCAAAATCCCTCACTATTCTATTTTTTCTTCCAACTATTACCCCTTCCTACTTGCTTCTTCTTCTATCATCACCACACCACCGCCGACCTTCTTCCTCAACTCCTCCGGCCACAACTCTTCTTCCCCTAAGCCGGCCGGCAAACCTAGAACCCAAGAAGATCCCCACTGCAATCAACCTAGGCGAACACAAGCACCCATCATCTCAGCCGCCATTGATGAACCCATCCCAATCTTGGTTTTTAGGGTTTCAGTTTCTGGGGTTTGAGATTCTGATTCGTCATGGGTTTTGGGGTTTCAATTTCTGGGCTTTGGGGATTGATTCGTGTTGGGTTTTGATTTTGTGCCGACCACAGGTTGTTCGATTTCCATATTAGTGCTTGCTGTAGTTTGTGCTTGTTTATTGAGGAAGAAGAAGACAGCGGCAGAGAGGCATAAGCATAAGAATGACATGGATTTTTTTGTAATTATGATGATCACTTACAAATACCTCATTCACATCCAAAAAAGAAGTTTTAATCAAATAACTCATTTAAATTTCCTGGTTTTTTATACGAGAGATTTGGAACCAAATCCCTCATAAATCCCTCGTATTAAAATCCTCCGTCCAAACGACTCCTAAGAAAAGAAAAGGAGGAAAAAAAGGGAGTTGCTAAAGGTCGCCCTTAAAATTCCTAAATGATGCCCTAAAAAACATCAAAGTTACAAATTTAACCTTTTAGCTTCTTTACTCTTCTTTTAGCAAACAAACACCACTTAGTAAAGAAAATAAAACATTATTCAAAAGAGAGAATCCATCATCGTCATTCTGGAGTTGGAATCGTCGATATGATGTCTGGATCATGACTAGCGACTCTGAATCAGTAAAGTTCACTAAAAAATTTGAAGAAAAAAACAAAAAAAGGGAACCGTAGCTCATTTGCGGTTGCACCATGGACCAACCGCAAGTGAGTTGCGGTTGCACCATGGACCAACCGTAACTTGCCTTAGGTTGAGCGTTTTTTTGGAAATTTCGTTAGAGAACGGGCGACGACGACGGCGGAAAGATGCCGACGAACTGGTGCGTCGAGAGAGATTCGCGAAGAAGGCAGATGAGGGGTTCAATTTGAGGGGTTAGAGATTGTTTGGTTTGTTTAAATTTTGAAATTTTATTGGGGGTATATAAGTCATTTATCATTAAAGTTAGGACGACCGTTAACAATTTTAAGGGCGACATTTAGCGATTCAGAAAAAAAAAAAAAAAAAAACCCTCCCTAAAACAAAAAGATCCATTCCTCCTCCTAATGCCTTAATCAGCTGTTTTCCAGATAATGACACATTCTAATTAACAAACAGCGCGGCGCCATTCCCCCCGGCCCCCTTCTTGTTTGCCTTAAAAGGAAAACAAGAAAGAAACTGTACTCCGCAGTTCTCTTTGGGGTTTCCTGCCCCTTTCCTCTTCGCCTCTTCTCCGATTCAGAAGCTGGACTCTGCTTCCCCCCTTCTCCCGGTGAGTTTCTCCCTCCCAGTCCTCTCGATTTCATTCTCACCCCACTCCACATCATTGCATTCATTCTCTACTTCTTCTTCTTCTTCATCTTTTTTTTTTTTTTTTTTTTTTATCGGGAGATCAGAGGGTTGCTGTTTGTTAGTTTCCAGAGAGAGAGAGAAAAAAATATGATGCACCGAGGGTTTGTAGCATATAGTTGTCCGTTTTCCCCGTTTCCATCTTGTTCGAGTTCCAATCACTTCCAAGATATTATTAGCCCGCGGCTTGGCTCTTCCTGTTTCCGATTTTCAGATGATAATTGTTACCTGGTGTGCTGCATTGTGATTTAGGGGTGACTTTTGCCTGTATGATGTTTGTGGAATATCTCCACTGTGTTGAAACATAGATATTTCATGCTTTGCTTCTTTAAGCGTGTCAAGCAGTCTTTAAACCCTGTGTGGAGCTAGATTATGTATGCTTAGATGTCTATTTTGTGATGCCTTCTTTACAGAAGGCAAGCTGCAGCGCACGCGCTTTATTTCTGTGTTTGTTTCAGCTCTCTTACTGACCAAATTCACTGGAAATGGATGTTAATTTGTTGCCTGCCTTTTTGCAAAAGGGTTTAAGGCATTCTGATGGTTGGAGCAGTATGGTGACTGGCAGGACCTCTAGCATGCCGTAACCGTGGGGTTTTATTTGCAGTTTTAAGTGATAAGGAAAATGCAGAAACCATGTTTAGTTTTTGCGGTTCTTTTCATGATTCATCTTTGCCGCCTCAACGTGTAGGCATCGCAATTTTGGAAATGGAGGCTCGGTATCATACTTCACCTCAACGTGTAGGCATCATAACATATTTTCTCCAGTTTCTGTCTTTTTCGAAATTATAATGTTTTGTTCTTGATTCAGTTATCCGTTGGAAGTTTCTGGTTAGACTCCATGATCTTCATTTTTAGTATAAGTGATGCCCAATTAAGGTCATTCCCGTGATTATGCTGCAACACGCTTGAAACTTACCCTTTCCATCAGAGTTTGTTTGACCTATTTTGTATCTCTTTTCAACTTGCTCTTCACATGGCCAGGAATCTTGTCCTGCTCTGTGGACTATAGAGGCAAGGCTCGTGCACGGTTTTGAATGAGAGAAAGATGTGAGAAATTCACTTTGTGACTACAATTCTTCGACTTCCTTAATAAGCTCTTGAGCTTGGTTTACTTCATCACTGAGAGTGGTTGTACCTCAAACGAAAGGAAATGTTACTTTATATTTCTCTTAGACTACATGGCTGATGTTCTTTTTATGTTGAAAATGTAACCCAAGCTTTCCTACATGAATTTCTATTCCGTCGCAATGAGGCTGCCTGCTCTTTTTCCCAAGTGTTTGATGGTGCTGCTTCTTATTGGCATATGTCACTTGAGGGTTTTTGGTTGGTCTCGTGTCATCTATGATACATTCTTTTATTCATTCCCTCTGACTCTTGTAGGTCTATCTTTTGTCTAACAGCCAATGCATGGTGAACTGCTGAGATCCTTTCATCCTGATCTTCTACGATGCATATGAACTAAGAACTATGTTTGTTTCAATGACTTCGGTTCTTTTGATGCTTGTTCAGGTTATAGGTAAAATGCCAGAGATTCAATTGGGCACGCATACTGTGAGGTCGCATGGAGTCAAAGTTGCAAGGACACATATGCATGATTGGTTGATATTTCTGTTACTTGTCGTGATAGAGATTGTTCTGAATGTAATAGAACCATTTCACCGTTTTGTTGGGAAGGATATGATGACGGACCTTTCGTATCCCTTGAAATCGAACACTGTTCCCTTTTGGGCTGTTCCTGTAAGTTTTAACTTCATGTATTAGCGTCTTACTTGCTAAAATCCCCTTGTTTACAACTTATTGGATTTAATCTCACAGCTGGATCACAATCTCCCCTTCTTTTTCTCTTCCTCCTCCTTCCTCTTTAATGACAGATAGTTGCAGTATTGCTGCCTTTGGCCGTCATTTCTGTTTACTACTTCATCAGGAGGGATGTCTATGACCTGCACCATGCCATACTAGGTAACTATTGTTCTATGCTTTGCATTTGTAATCCCATGTAGTTGGTGCGTGGTAATTTAAACTAGAATCTTAATATAATTATATCCAGGCCTTCTTTACTCTGTTCTTATCACTGGAGTTATAACTGATGCAATTAAAGATGCTGTTGGCCGGCCTCGTCCTGATTTCTTTTGGCGTTGCTTCCCTGATGGCAAAGGAGTAGGTTCTCCCACCTATTCGTTGATTCCATAAATTCTTCACTATCACAGCTTTAACTTGTGGATGACTTCTTATTTTCTTATTTATTTACTCGGTTAACGTGCATTAATAATATCCAGAAATTTGATCCCATCACAACGGATGTTATGTGTACTGGAGTGAAGAGTGTCATCAAGGAAGGACACAAAAGTTTCCCCAGTGGACATACTTCTTGTGAGAACCTTATTTGCTAGCGTTTACCTGTAACTGCTCTGTACCATTTAATGCTGGATTTGCTGTTTAGATATTAACTGAAGCAGAAATATGTGAATGTCATTAGAATGAGTTCTGTTACTCCTACTTTTGCTAAATGTCTGGTCTGTGTTCTTGCTATCGTTCCTCCCCGGTGGCCTATGCATGATATTAGGACAGTCCATGAGGGCTAGATGACGGACGGACAGAGCTTAATAACAAATTTAAGTTCCCAGTTAAATTCTGATGGCATATTCAGTTTACAACTTGATGCTCTTCTGTGCAATATGGCCATTGGATTTGTTGCTAGGTCTGACTTTTGTACGTTGATATCTGTCTTTTTGGGATTTCATTGGTATGTGTCATGTGTGCTTGACCAGGATCGTGGTTGGATTTTAGGTCCTGACGATATAGGTCCTGATACTTATCCGTGTTGGTTTCAAATAAGTTTCATTTTCATGTCTGCCTGTGAAGATATATTAGCTAGCTCTGCGTAAAAGCTTATTAACAATTGACTATTAAACTTTTTCGCTAATCTCTTATTAGGTCTTCATGTTGGATCTTCATCATCTTTATTGTGCTTTAATTTCTTTGTCCGGGCATTTGGTTGAAAGGGTGCTTTATTTATTTATTATTATTTTTTTTTATCTCAAGTCTGGAATAGTACATACTGTTGCAAATAAATAGTTCGACCAAGACAAAAGCTGGTGGTTCCTGTATGCAGGGTCATTTGCAGGTCTTGGGTTTCTAGCATTGTATTTATCGGGGAAAGTGAGAGTATTTGATCAGAAAGGGCATGTCGCAAAGCTCTGCATTATCTTCTTCCCATTGCTTTTTGCAGCTCTGGTTGGAATTTCTCGAGTCGATGACTACTGGCACCACTGGCAAGATGTATTTGCTGGTGGTCTCATAGGTAGGTTTGCTTGTTTGTCAAACTAGCTCAGCTCACACTTGTGTGTTTCTTCTGCTTGGGTATGGGGGTTTAAAGAAGACCGACCGCTTTGTCATTCATTTGGTTGCAGGGCTGGTAGTTGCTTCATTTTGCTACTTGCAGTTCTTTCCTCCTCCTTATGATATTGACGGTACTTACTGATCTCCATTTGCTGTTGGTTATTTTAGTTCGACGCTTGTTCGTAAGCACGAGCATGTTGTTGTGTATGAGTAGTAGGAGCCGTTGTTGAACTGTGCAGGGTGGGGCCCGCACGCGTACTTCCAGATGTTAGCAGAGTCTCGCAGTGGAGCTCAGTCCACCAGCAACACCAGTACTGCTCTCATAGTGCGCCAGTCCGAGCTGGAGAATGTTTTCATCGATCCACAGCACAGCAACGAAGGTGGTTTTGTTCGGGACAGCACCCCCCATTTTTGAGGGGATGGATAGTGAAAGGAGGCATTGACTTTTCCGGTCTTTTAACCACGCACTATATCAGAGATCAAGCACTAGTTTGTTCATTGAGCTTTTGCTATTATTAAGGATGGTAATTTTCAGACTTATAAAAAAGAGGAAGGAAGGTTATTTTAGCAACCCTGATGTTTGGGTTGAGAATTAACAAGTAAATGCACAGGTTGGGTCGACAATTACGCACAGGAATGATCTAGCGGGCCAAATTGTATCCTTTGGGCCGGCAAATTTCTGAAGGTGCAGAAATGGAGCAAGCCTGGTTGGGCCGATGGAAACGGGGATGCAGGCCACCAGTCCCAGTCTCCCAGAGAGTGGAATCCAAGGACAACCCAATTTCTTCATTATAAATCATAAGTCCCATTGTTGGTTAATTAATAATCATAATTATGGATAGTAATATCGTGCTATGATTGCGGACAATGGTTTATTCTATTGGTACTATATAAACTTGGTGGTTGTAGGTTTGAATCTCCGAAATAGCACCTTATAATGAAACTATATTATCTTTATCTATAAAAAAAGTAGATACAATATATTAGTCATAACTATTAAGCAGTCGGGAATTATAGTCACAACTATCGAAATACAAATTATTATCGAACCGTTAAGTCTTCGTTAACACTTTTGTTAGTAATGATAACTAAACTTTTACGATGTTGAGTTGGCTCCCACGTGGCAGTTATCATAAAGCATTTTTTACGATGCTGACATGGCATTCTCCGTTTTAAAATTTTAAAAACAATAACGGGTTGTTAGCCAAATCTTGACCCGCAACAATAATATGGCTAATAATTTGTATTTCAATAGTTGTGACTATAATTCCCAGTTGCTTAATAATTATGGCTAATATACTGTATTTACCCTAAAAAAATCCAATTAAGGGGGCGTTACGATTAATGATGGCAGTGGGACAACTGAAGGGGAGAGGAAGAAGGAAAAAGAAAAGGAAGAAACATAGAAGTGGAGAGGGGCAGTTGAGTGGCTCTAATCTAGATGAGTTTGGTTTGTTTAACGTTGGATGGCGACAATAAAACTCGTTCATGCACGGTGAAGGATCCAACGAAGGAAGAGGAGGTTGTTAAAATTAACTGTAATAATCGGTAGCTTTTACGGTACCCTGGTGAAATCCGGGGTACTGTATATTTTGAGTATGGAAAATGCTATTTTGATTTCGAATTAGCAAGATTTTTGGTCCGGATGCTATAATCTAACTCTTAATGTGTGAACTCTAGGTCCTAATTATCTAAATCACAAACTATAAACCCTAAGATGGTTTATTCATTTTCTGGCTATATTTGGACGAATCATAACCGTCGATTATTGTTTCTAATTAAATTGATATTGGAGTATAAGATTTAGAGAATTAAGACCTAGATTTTGATCTTTAAGGACTAAAGCATAATATCATGTCCAAAATATCAGCCAATTCAAAATCTAAATAGCGTTTTCATACTCAAAATATGCGGTACCCCAGATTTCACTTTGGGTACCATAGAACTCACCAGAATCATTTTGTCAGATAATCAAATGTTGGCAAAATACCCAGGTTCATGTTGACCGTACGAAGCTTGATGCAAAAATCTACTTCAAATATGAATATCTCAATTGTAAGGCACCAACAAGTTTCCAAATATACTTCACGGGGCCTCTTTGATATTGCTCGAATTAGTGCATCTTCTTCTCCAAACAATGAGTGAAAGTCATGCAGTTGTTGTCTCAGGTAGTGTTACACCCCCTCTTCTCAAAAATCAAAATGACTATTATACCCATGGGTCAAGTTCCACCGTATTATCAATGAGGATTAAAATGTTAACTGTTGGTTTAAGCGGTGTCAAATTTGTACATAAATTAAGTAAGTTACGGACGTTAATTGAGTTTCGGATTAAACTCACACGCAATTGTGAGATTCCCAAAAATATTCTTTAACTAATTAAACCCTAGACCCTTTACCCTAGCATAAGCTGGCGATCGATCCAAGGCAATCAACATGGGGGCTGCTTTTTCCCTCCGCTAGGATAGCCCTGTTTCTCTCTACTACGCTCGTTCAGTCATAGAAGATTGCGCGCTACTAGGAGAGCAGCTTGCTTGATCCGGCGGGGATGTCGTCGTGACAGCGGACAGGGAAGGATCAGGGTAAGGAGGCATAAGTTGGCGATGGATGACTATGGATCGAAGGCAATCAACGTGGGGGCTGCTTTTTCCCTCCCCTAGGACAACCCTATTTCCCTCTACTGCGAGAGCTGCTTGCTTAAGTCTCGTTTAGTCATAGAAGATTGCGGACGGGACCAATTCTTCCCACCCCGTAGCAGCAAGCTTCCATTTGAGCAACTTGCTTCACAATAATGACCAAAGCAAGCTGGTCCATATAATCCCATTTGTGCCAAGCAAGCTGCTCCAAGTACGCGTGTAGTAGGGATAATATTTTGGAAGCGAGTATGGAAACTTTGGAGCAAAATCAGAGCCAGTTCCGACGGAAGTAAGGTGAGTGTAAAGGGGGTAAATTCTACGCCTTACGGTTTTCCAATATTTTCCTTGAGTATTTTCAAGTATTGATTTACGTGATGTATGTGCATTGTTTGATTCATGTTTGAGATTGCATGATTATGTTTGACAGTGTGTGCTTTGGTTGAGCTATGATTTGAAGTGAAGGTGTTTGAGTTTATCTCTTACTATGAAGTTTACGTTTATGAGTGATTATTAAAGCTTAAGAACAAGTCCTTTTAAGAAATACTTCACCTGCGAAGAAGGTGAAATTGTTATAAGTGTTTTTAGATACTAGCGCCAGTCTGTTGCCATTTGAGATTTTCAGATAGAGCCGCAGTTATGCTCTTGAGATCTTTGAGACAGAGCAACAGTTATGCTCTTGAGATATTTAAGTTGAGCAACAGTTATACTCTTGAGATTTTTAAGATGAGCAACAGTTATGCTCTTGAGAATCGTGGAAGAAGAGCCTTCCACGATAAGTTTAAGTTTAAGGAAAGCCTTGATGGCTTCTCATACGTATGAGTTGGCAACCAGACTAGCTAGTGAGGGATCCCCGTGTCGGTCAAGTATTTAAGTCAAGCTTTGAGATTTAAGAATGGAGAGTAACAGTTACTCCCATACAGTTTTAAGAGTTAAGATTTTTAAGAATGGAAGTACAAACAACTTCCCTCAGTTTGAGTTTAAGTGTTTGAGAAAAAGTGCAAAATTATTAGAAAGTTTAAAACGTAAGGGCGTAGACTGACCCCAACTCACTCACCAGGCCTTAGTAAAGGAATGAGCGAGAACCAGATCGATAACAGCTACCTAGAAGAGCAGTTAGAGAACAGCGAGATCGAGGGAGCCATTCGAGGCTAGCCAGCTAGAGGAGGATAGTACAAGCGTCGCTAAAGTTGCTAGAGATATCCGAGCAGATAACAAAGTAGAGTTTAGTTATTTCTTTACGTTTATGAGTATAGACTAGAGATTCATATTAAGATGTTATTGTTGAGGTTTGCTCAAGTGTTAGGGCTTGCTCTTAAGAGATTTCAGTTTACTTCAGCAAGCGTTAAAGTTATTTATGAAAAGCTTTTGCTATTTTTCCAGTTCTTTTCAGTTCTTATTTTGGTTTATGATTTATCAAGGGTATTTTGGTAAAGTTAGTGTCCGGCCGGACTAGGGTGTTACAGATAGCACTAATGATACTATGCGAGCCATGATTGTTATGCCAGTGGCATGCCGGCTGGTTGAACCAGGTTCAACCGGTACCGATCATGAAACCAACTGGAATGTCATAAGTATAATACTCTGGTCAATGCCGACCAATGCCGGACGAAACCAAAAATTTTGGGTGGTTCAACCGGCATTCAGTTTCCGATCCCTAAGCTTTACGCGTTCTTTTTCTATGAATTAAACTTTGGGGAAAGAACTTTGAAAGGGAAATTTCTCTCCACTCTCGTAATTCAACTCCCCCGATCCCCACAAACTCCCTGCCTTTACTCTATCTCCTCGCGAAGAAAGAACCCCGATCAAAACCAGAAATATTTGGCCTTCTTTTGGCTCTTATTTTTTATTGGCCGTAGTGATATTATTTGGGCCTTCTTTGACTCTTATTGGCCCTTAGTGATATTAATTTGTCGGGTAAATTGCAAGTTTAGTCACTGGAATTACTAAAAATTGTCATGTGTACCACTAAAATTATTTTATTCCATTCATTGTGACTTAAATTAGTTTTGTAGTCCAAGTTTGGTCACTAGCTGTTAGTCTCCGTTAAACTCCTTTAACATCGTGAGTTAATTGCTTACGTGTCTAACAGAAGTGCCTAAGCAGCAAATTTTGACTCGAAAATTTTTAAAAAATGACCCGCCACATCATCAAAATCCAACACAATTCTAATCCATTGACCAAATCCAACCTGTGACTCGACCATATACTCGATTCCACCCGACTTTCTTTCTATGATTCTTTCTCCTCTACCGCTGTCAGTCGTCGTCGTCCTATGTTCCATTTGCGCAGGGGAGTGCTGACACAGGCACATCAACTTCATCGAACACCTACTCAAACGTAGCGCATCCTTAAGGAGAGAACCTGACGACGTCGCCTCTGTGTCCTCTTCCGCTCCTACTCCAACTCCAACTCCTATGTCAACCTCACCATCTTCGTCCCTTTCACCGGTAGTGACATCATCTGGGCACACGTCGGCGATGATGAGGAGAAGCGGATTCACTTGTTATGCATCGTCCCCTGGCACTCCCTAATCAACGACGACCTCTTGTCAAGTACCCGAACGAGGCCGAGCTCCACGAACACCTATTGCAATCGGAGATTCCCCTTAGGAAGGCGAAGGACAAGGGGGATTTCGATGCAGGGGAGGCTTGGAGGGAGAAACTGAACTCGATTTTTCCTAGGGAAGGGGTGAAGATGAAGCACATAAAGAACTAAGAAATTAGAGAGATGCGATTGGGATCTGGGTTTGGTGGGTTTTTCCCTCGGTGGTGAATCAAAAAGAGAAGAGAAAGAACGCAGAGATGTGACTGGGATTTGGGTTTGGTGCGTTTCTCCTCTCGAGTTTCCAAATTCCTCCAACTCATCGGGACAAAGCTATGTCGGCATCAGATCCAACGGCGGAGTGACATCGATCCTCCTTCCCGGCTAGCTTCGATTGGACTTTCGCCACCGACCCATGAATCTCTTCCTTTTCCAATTTATTGTTCGTCGGGGGAAGTGTATGATAAAAACTCCATTGCTCAAATCCAAAGAAGCTTCAATTCCAGCAGGCAAACCGCTCCCATTGACTACACCGCGATGAAGAAGGACGGGAAGAGGAAGGGGTCTAGATAATCTCAATAATCTCCATACCCAGATATCGTCGATGTTTAATTGCACTATTTTTGGGGATGGCGATGAAGAAAGATGGGGAAGAGGAATCAATTCGGGGAGAAGAAGGGTCAAAAATAGAGATCGGGTTCGGGGATGGGTCATTGGGTTTGCGATGTGTTGGGTTATGATGACGTGGCTAGTCATTTTTTTTTAGTCAGAATTTTCTGATTAGGCAATTCTGTTAGCCACGTCAGCAATTAACTGACGGTATCTAACGGAGACTAATGGTCAGTGACCAAACTTGGACTATGATACTAATTTAAATGACCATGAATGAAATAAAATAATTTTAGTGGCAAACATGACACTTTTTAGTGGATTAGGAGTGTCCGGTTGGGCCTAGTGATTGACAGGTGAGTTCTGGCGGGTTTAGTTACCAAGTTCAGTTTGTGTTGGGTTACTTGTCGGAGTTCTTTTCTCGTTCCTTGGACTAGCTTCACTATGGCTAGACGTGTCCTTCGAAATGAACTCCTTGGCCGTGCACGACCTTTTGGTTTGTTCATTTTATTTGCTTGACTTGCAGTTTTCATGAAATGGCTTCCTTTTGGGTTCATTGCACTGATTTCAGCTTCAATGGGCATACTTGACGTTCTGGACATGAAGCTGCTTATTGACGCATGTAGTACAACTTCAAACTTGTAACCATGGGGTGTATGCGCCACAATGAAGACAGTATGAGCTTTATAGCTTCGATGGAAAGTTAAAGTGTGGGTACCCTGAATCCGTATCCTTAGTAATTTAATTTCTATCTATTTTTTGTTCCGTGCATACTTTGTTTTTAGATTTGCAGGGATTTGCTGTATTGCGGTCACTTGACAGCCAAAAGAGCTTGGTCATTACTTCTGCTCTGAAAAGGGTTGAAGCTTAGATATGGACTCTTGTCAATGCGTAGGTATATTAGGGCTGTCCATATCGTGGAAAAAAAAGCCTTCTTGTCATTGGCTCGTCCGACCCTTCTTCCTTATTTATCTTTTATTATTTGACCTGCAAAGATCTTGTACTTATATTTTGTATCTTGCTGTTTCCCATATTGTGGGATACCTTTGGGGGAAAAAAAAACTTTGAGATCTCTTATAATAGAAGTTACAATATAATGTTCAAAAGTATTTAATTTGGAAAAGACAAAACGTGATAAAATCGAGAATTCCTATAAAATAAATTAATATCTCTGCAAGAGATAGGATTTCAATAACTTCTAATGTCACATATTTGAGACCTCTTCTAATATAATTTACAATATAATGTTCAAAAGTATTTGACTTGAATGAGAAAACAATCTAATGTTCAAAAGTATTTAATTTGGAAGAGACCAAAAAGTGATGAAATCGTGAATTCCTATGACATGAAACATTACCTACACGTTCTTCTTTCTTCCACATGCTGCTATTATTAATATCTATTTGGTTGTTTGGTGATAAACTCTTTTTTTCTTTACTGAACGTGGTTTGCATAGAAAAGAAAGTTTGTAAGGAAGCAGTCAAATCGATTTTTGACCTTCTTCCAACAAATTAATTTGAATTAATTTGTTGAGATCTATTGGTTTGTGAATGATATAAGAAATCAGAATTGGTTTGTCCTTTAAGTCACGTATCCAAGTCTTTATAATATCAATATTAACCGTTATCTTAAATCACAGAGTATGGTGGGGTTGAGAAAACTGAAAACGTCAAACCCAAAAGTTAACTTTCATTTGAGGATTTGTGTAAGAAAGTTGTTAAAATTTGTAAACCTATCCCAACGACGGGAATTGGAAAATTGAAAATTGAGATTAGTTGGGCTATCACAAAAGTCACAATAAAATTGAAAATTGAAATTGTCATGTTAAAAATCAAGAACGATACCGATATAATAAATTGTCATTTGTCATAAACAAATCCTTTTAATAGAAATAATTTATCTTCATATGCATAAATCAGAACTGTTAAAATTGATAGATTTCATGTTCAAAACCAATTGATCACTCCTATGGGTTAAGAAATATGTAATCGATTTCCATTTATCATCTTTTCCCATATAAAAACCTAATTACCAAGAATTGTAAAATTGTAATGGAAGTTGTACAAAATTAGTATTACTTGTACTGAAAATTGAAATAATGATTTAGCTGTGGTTCAACTCGGCTACCAACTTAGTACGTTACGATTTGGGAATAGAATAATTACCATAGAAGCTTTAATTAGAAATCTTTACCCTAAAGAATAAATATAACGTAAAGAATTCTTATGTTAATTCAGGGTCATCAAAACAAAGTAGGTTTCCTTCATCGAAACGGACCAGTGAAGTAGTCTTATTTTGAATGTCGACCCCGTCAATTTCCCATTGGGCGGCCGGCCGGCCGGCTTGGAATAAGTCATGCCGAGACGGAAGATGGAATCAGAAAATTTAACCTCAACCAGGCAAAGAAAACTTACACTTTCGCAACCCGACCACACGACATGACGCGACATTTGGCCTCTGTCCGACTAAATTAAATTAAGATTCAACATGTAATATATATATATATATATATATATATATCATCAATAAATAGAAGAAGGGTTCCGAGAGCTGCCATTCTTGATCGGTTCCGAGAGCTGCTTTCTCGACACTGGGATGTCATCATTGAGCATGTGTATAGAAAGGGTAATAGATGTGCTGACTTTCTGGCTAGTAGGGGACATGTTGTTCCTTTTGGGTTTCATAAGGTTGCGAGCGCCGATCCGATGCCCTTTTATTTGATTATGTATGACTGTCAGGGGATTTTCGAACCCCGGTTGGTTTTGAATGAAGGTTAGGGTGCTTTTGCATCCATTATAAAAAAAATAATAAGAAGAAGGGTAGCCAAATACTTTATATTGATAAAAAAATAGTCAAATCTTAATATAAAATATTAGCCAAATATTTTATAATATTGTAAAATTTTAACAGTTAATCTATTATCGTTAAAAAAAAACTCTTAACGACGCTGCACATTACCTGCCATGTCAAATTCCACTAAAAAGTGTTAATTTTTATTTAGTAAATAATATTAAGAAGTCCTTCTATGTATTAGTTTTGGACTTTCTGTGTAGTCGTGTTCTACAAGGATACGAGCTACTTAGAGGCCTATATATATTGTATCCTGTTGTATACAAGAACTTAAGAAAATCATAATATTAAAACATGAGAGGGAGATCCTCTCCGTGGACTAGTGTCTAATTGACGATACCACGTTAAAAAACTCATTGTCTTCTTTGATTTTCTGCGATCGTGTTTGCTAAATTGGCTTGGTATCATAGCCTCACGACTAGGGTTTTCTTTCCGAAGTTGCTTCCTCTCCATGGTCGTGGGATTCTTTTTCTTGGCTGGCTCGTGTTTATTCCATCTGATGCAGCTTCCTCGCCTTTTTCTATTCGATGCCGCTTGCTTCATTCTTCTGCTGCGGTTGGTTATTTTTTTGCTGCAGCTTTCTCGCCTTCTTCCTGTTCGGCGCTTGCTTCCTGAATTCCTCTTCTGCTATGGATTATTTATTTATATACCACGTTCATTACTTGTGTGGATTCCAGGTTATTGCGCCGCACGTTTCTGTGCTGCCATAGGGCCTTCTCTTCCGCTTGCTGTTTTTTGTTGTTGCCGCTTATTTATTCAGCATGGATCCGAACAAGGTTGATCAGTTGACGGTTAAATTCGATGGCAAAAATTTTGTACTTTGGGAATTTCAGTTCAGAAACCTTGTTGAGGGTCGCCGTTTGCTTGATATTTTGGATGGTACTGCTCCTCGTCCTGCGGCTACTGCTGACACCAAGGAACGAGATGACTGGCCTGCGGGCAATGCCTAAATCATTACTTGGCTGGTGGGATCTGTCTACCCTCTCACTGCTCTTACCCTTCGCCGTTTTCCTACGACTGCTGAGATGTGACATCATCTACGTACGGTTCATTCTCAATAAGATGCTTCACATCAGTTTCAGCTTGAAACGGAGTTGGATAATCTTTCGCAGGGTGATCGGGACATTCGTACTTATTATCACTCATGTCTTAATCTTTGGACAGAACATGATATGCTCACTGCTTCCTTAACTACAGGGGTTGTCTCGCCTGCCTTGGTTGCTGAGCAAACCCGATCTCGCTTGATGCAGTTTCTGATGCGTCTCCGTCCTGAGTTTGAGTCTCTTCGGGCCTCTCTTCTTCACTGCAACGTCTCCAACCTTGATACAGTTGTCGCGGAACTTGTTCGAGAAGAGACTAGACTCAAGTGTCAGGCTCAGCTTGATTCTCCTGCCTCTGTCGATGCGGCCTTTGTTGTTGGGAAAGGGTCTTCCTCTGGTCGTCCACAGTTTCAGCGAGTAGACTACAGTTTACTTACATGCCATTTTTGTAATGAGATCGGTCATATTCAGCCTCGTTGCAAAAAACGTAATATTTGTTCTTACTGTAAGAAGTCTGGTCATGTGCTCTTTGACTGCCCTACCCTTGCCCGACGTGGTCAGTATGCTCGTCGTCCTTCCTCTAGCCGAACTGGTACTGGATATGCAGTAAAGCCTGCTACAACTACTACTCCTGCAAGTTCTACTAGGTCTTCGTCAGCAGCTATCTCTCCAGCAGATATTCGCCGCTTGGTTCAGGACGCGCTGTAGGAGATACTTCCTTCTGCTTTGAACTCTGCCTTTGCGACTGGGGCTGCATCAGGTACCTCTTCTCCTTGGTTATTAGACTTGCTGCCTTTAATCATATATCTCCGTCTCGTATGCATTTTGGTTCGTTACACCCAACTCGTGATACTCATCTCCAAGTTGCTAATGGGGACCGCCTTCCTGTTCTAGGTTCTGGGACGGTTTCTACGGGTGACATTACCTTGCACAATACTTTATATGTTCCCCAGCTGGTTCCCAACTTAGTTTCCGTAGGCCAGTTGACGGATGAAGGGTGTGATGTCTCCTTTAATACCGCTGGGTGCGTTGTGTAGGACCAGAAAACAAGGAAGGTGATTGGGACAGGACGTAAGCAAGGACGGGTGTTTGTGTTGGATGCATACCAGAAGGAGGCAGCAGTAGAGCAGGCGGTTCTTCCTAGTGGTGATAGGCAGTTGTCTGTTAATACTGATTCTTGTGCTTTTTCTGTTAAACCTTTGGATTTTTCGGTTAAGACCTCTTTATGGGATTTATGGCATTGTCGGTTGGGCCATCCTCATTCTGCTCGATTACAGTATATGTTTCGGAATAATCTTTTGCCTGATAAATTATCTCATTTTTTGGATTCTTCTACTCCTTGTGCGAGCTGCATTGAGGCTAAGGCTCATTGTTCTTTGTTTGGCGCGAGTGATACAATATATGACGAACCTTTCTCTTTAGTTCATACAGATTTATGGGGACCATCACCGGTTACTTCTCGTCTGGGCTATCAATATTTTGCCTTATTTATTGATCATACTACAAGATACACATGGGTCTATTTGCTGTGCCAGAAATCCGAGTTAATTACTTTTGCTACCGAGTTTATCCGCATGGTGCAAACTCAATTCAACAAAACTGTAAAGGTCATCAGGTCCGATATTGGGGGCGAATTCACCACCACACCGTTGTTGTATTTCTATAAATCTCAGGGTATTCTATCGCAGCTCTCTTGTCCTAGAGTTTCGCAACAAAATGGGGCAGCGGAAAGGAAGAATCGCCATGTTCTCGAGCTCACACGTGCCCTATTGTTTCATGCCTTGGTTCCGAGTTAACTGTGGGTCAAAGCTGTGCACACTGTGGTTTACTTGATTAATCGGCAGACCACTACTGTTTTGGATCACAAATCTCCTTATGAACTTCTTTATCAGAATCCTCCAGATTATACTACTTTGCGTGTGTTTGGTTGTGTCTGCTTTGTTCTTCTGCAGAAAAGAGAACGCCATAAACTTCAACCGAAGACAGCAAAGTGTGTATTTGTGGGCTATAGTGATCGTCGTAAGGGGCATCTCTGTTATGAACCAGTTGCTCGACGTATGCGGGTATCTTGTAATGTGATCTTCCTTGAGCAGGTTAAATATTATAGTACCAGTAAAGAGGAAGTTTCACAATCATTGGAGTTTCTCACAAGCTTACCCACGTTTGAAGCTTCTCCCGATCCTCCTGTTCATAATCAGGGAGGGCATTTGGAGGACTTGGATAATTCCCCTCCACCTACTCCATCCAATCATCAAGCTACTTCAAGTGAATCTTCTTCGGTCTCCCTCTCTCCAGTTGCGACGGAGGACATTCCTCATTCTTCTTCTCCATCAACGAGAGGCAGCTGATCCTCACCTGGGCCCTCCTCCTCTCCGTCCCATGGCATTTTCTCATCTCCGTCAGCGAATGGAGAGTCCACTTCACCTGGGACTTCTTCTTCTTCGTCTCATGGGTCTTCCTCTGCCAGGACAGAATCATCACCTGAGGCGGCTCCTTTAGTTGAGCAACAACAGCCGCCAGTCCTGCGCCGATCCAATCGTTCGAATCTTGGCCAAATTCCAGTTCGAATCTTGGCCAAATTCCAGTGCGCCTCCATGAATATGTTGGTTTCTCATACGAACTCGTTACTATTCCCCAAAACTATGAAGCTGCCAAGGATGATCCTAATTGGAATGCAGCAATGAATGGTGAAATGAGAGCATTGGATGAGAATCAGATATGGGATATAGCTATACGCACTCCTGATATGTATGTTATTGGGTGTCATTGGGTATATACAATCAAGATGTATCCAGATGGCACAATCGAATGTTATAAAGATCCTTTGGTTGCTCAAGGCTTTCGTCAAGAATATGGTATTGATTACAAGGAGACATTTGCACCGGTGGTTAAAATGCAGACTGTTCGTATTGTTTTCGCTGTGGCAGCAATGAAGGAATGGCCTCTTATACAGTTAGATGTGAAAAATGTCTTCCTACATGGTGATCTTAAAGAAGAGATTTATATGGAGTGTCCACCAGGGTATGCCATAGGGGGAAAAGGTTTGGTCTGCAAACTTCGTCGTTCCTCATATGGTCTTAAACAAGCTCCTAGAGCTTGGTTTGAGAAATTTCATAACACGATCGTGCAGGTAGGTTTTGAGCAGAGTGATAATGATCCATCACTATTCACCAGATAGATAGTTAACGACATTGTCATCTTGCTTCTGTATGTAGATGACATGGTGATTACGGGCAGTGATAGTGATGGAATTCAGGAATTGACTTAAGTTTTGATGACTGCTTTCAACTTGAAAGAGCTTGGCGAGGATTCTTATTTCCTTGGCCTCGAGATACAACGTTCTTCTTCTGGTATATTTGTGTGTCAGAAGAAGTATATTTAAGATCTCTTGCAGTGTACTCGATTTGAGTCTAGTAAACCGTGTGCTACTCCGATGGAACAAAATTTGAAGTTGAGCAGAGTTGACGGGAAAATTCTTGAAGATCAGACATTATACAGGAGTTTGTAGGAAGTCTTATTTATCTTACTCATACCAGGCCAGATATTTCATATACAGTCCAGATCTTGAGCCAGTTTATGGGAGCGGTTCATGTTCCTCATTTAGATGTTGTGCATCGATTACTGCGGTATCTTCATTATACGCAGGATGTTGGTCTCTTCTTTCCAGTCACCGGTACTTTTACTGTTGAAGCTTTTGCAGATGCTGATTTCGCTGGCTGTCGTGATACCAGGAGGTCAACGTCAGGTTGGTGTATCAGGATTGGACAATCATTTGTGTCATGGAGATATCGGAAACAGGATAAAGTATCAAAGTCATCGACTGAGGCTGAGTATAGGTCGATGTCAGAAGCTGGCTCAGAACTCGTGTGGTTGCGACGAGTTCTTCTTGAACTAGGTTTTACTTGTGACATGCCTATGAAGTTATATGGAGATAATACAAGTGCCATTCAAATCGCAATCAACCCAGTTCTACACGAACGTACCAAACATATAGAGGTATATATACATTATATACGAAAATTGGTGGCAGAAGGGCTGGTTCGTCTGAGCTATTTATCAACAGAAGACCAAACTGCAGATTGGCTCACTAAGGCAGTTGCGTCTAGTAGGCACTGGTATTTATCTTCCAAATTGATGTTGCGTAGCCAACATCAATTTGAGGGAGGGTGTTGATTAAGAAGTCCTTCTATGTATTAGTTTAGGACTTTCTGTGTAGCCGTGTTCTACAAGGATACGAGCTGCTTAGAGGCCTATATATATTGTATCCTGGTGTACACAAGAACTTAAGAAAATCATAATATTAAAACCTGAGAGGGAGATCCTCTCCGTGGACTAGTGTCTAATTGACGATGCCACGTTAAAAAATTCCTTGTCTTCTTTGATTTTCTACGATCGTGTTTGCTAAATTGACAAATACAACATATTAGCCAAGTATAGTAATTTAGAAAAAATATTAGTCAAACTTTTAAAAATATAAAATATTAGTCAGACCTCGTCCAGGATCAATTTTCAGATTTTGGAAATCTTAACGCACTCTTTCATGTATCCAACTCAATCATACAATCCATGATAACTTAAGATCCGTTGTAGCAACCATTGAGGCGCGCGCGATAGCGGGAACCAATATAATGCGTGTTTCTACGTAGAAGGGAAACATGAGTAAAAACGTAAAAGTGTATGTTTTTTTTTGGTATAATCTCATTAATCTTCAACAAACTACCTGTCTCATAAAAAAGTCACTACTCATGCAGAAATTTGACAATTTTTAATACTAGAGCTGGCGTACAACTAAACCAACAATGCGCGCAATAAGGAAATAATTAATGATTCTTCTTCATTTATACAAAAATATAACCAATTAACAACTACGCCTCATTACTTACCGTTTTGTTTCAATCTGGATGTCAAATTAAACATGATTACTGAGCCTTCTTTTATTATGATGTTTATCCTCTATTGGATGCGAGAAATAAGATTATTAGTAAATATTAAGTACTTAAGTCGCACATCAAACAACAAAATAATGTGTAACATCTTCGTCCCTCTTGAACATGTCAAAAATCATTCTAGCATCAAGGTAATGTCATCCCAATATTTGAACAACTTTTAAATGATGAACCAACAACAAATATTGAAGGAGCCATAAAATTTAGTGGGAACTAAAGTTGGAACATTGAGAAGGAAAGAAAAAGGTAAGGAAGAGAAGAAGAGAGGAGCATCAGAATTTTTGTTTTGCGGTAAGGCAGTGCGTTCAAGAGAGCATTTCAAAACACCAGCCGTTAGATCGTCCCTAAATTTGGAGGATACGTTCCACACTTTTTGAGATCCGATTTGACCATTTGGATTATCGTTATGTCTCTGGTTCGTCGAGAATTATTGCTGGTCAGACAGGGTGCAACTTTGTTTTTCTGGAGCTGGATCATTCGTTCTGAGGAGGATTCCGGAGAAACTAACCGTTCGATCGTTCTCAAACTTTGAGGGCACGCTGAAAACTCATTGTGAGTCGATTTGACCGTAGAGATAAATGTTTTGACACCTAGTTTGTTGAGAGACAATACTGGGCAGTGGGCAGAGAGGGTATGGAATTGGTTGAAACTCCTTCAACAGGAAATGTACAAAAATGGAACAGAAACGTGTTTTTGACCGTTTTGATCATTTTTATATTTTTGCACACAATACGTTTTACATAGAAATTTAAGTATTTTGCCTAGCCAGGAACGTAAAACGTGCATTTTTGCGTTTCAAGACACGTTTTTAACAACATTGGAGGGAACTTCGTCCCTGTATTGACAATAACAAATCAACGGCGTAAATATTGTAATATTATGTAAAATTTAGCTAATATTGTTTTAAATTAAAAAAATTTGGCTAATATTATGTATTTTTAAAGATTTGACTAATATTTTATCATAATTGAAAGGTTTAGTTAATAAATTATAGGTAAATACAATTTAATATCCAAACCTTTCATTTTAAACAATATAATAGCCAAACCTTTTCGAAAACAATCTAATATCCAAATCGTCAACTTTCCGTCTGTTTGACCGTTGTTTGACACTTCAAAAACGCTTTCTCTAGGGGAAATTTGTCACAATACAACTTTGTTTTCTTGTTTTGGCATTGCAGATGACTGAATATTTAGATATTCTATACCATCATGGTGGAGTCATGGACTGATCGGGTTTGGAACCACGATATGTTGGTGGTTTTCCAGAGAAGATATCGATGGATATTGATGAAGCGTCGTACTTCGAACTTTTTTGAAGTGTCAACTAACGGTCAAACGAATGAAAAGTTGACGATTGGGATATTAGATTGTTTTCGAAAAGGTTTGGCTATTATATTGTTTAAAATGAAAGGTTTGGATATTAAATTGTATTTACCCTAAATTATATTTAACTGAATAACCTTCATTTTTTTTTACAGTCCACCCTCAAATGAATTAATCTCTCATCTGCCAGTGTGCATTGTTATTGGTCCAAATGGAACAACGATGCGTATTATAAAAGTCTAATCACTCGCATTCTCGAAACAAAGTCGATCATTGGCTGAGAGGATGAAGAAGAATAAGAGTAATAACACTCAACAGAAGTCAGCACATAAAGGGATTACATTAAACAACAACAACAAGAAGCCTCTAACCATTCAGGCATCGGTAACGATGAGAATGATACGTACCAAAGATTTGGAGCAATCTATTCAAATAATGGTGCAAGACTTACAGGCCCTGAATGCTCGGTTCGTATCCAAATTTCGGCAAAGAAATTAAAGTTTAATGAAGGAGTTGATCCTTCCATGACCATCCCCATAGTTTCGAATTGGAAACCTCGCCTTTACATGATCACTTGCCCTGATCTTGTTCTTTGATCTTTATGTGATGGACTCCGAAGAGATTTTGTTTCAGATTTATCACTAGCTTGGGGATTATCGGCCAACTCGAAGCCTTGCTGTTGTGATGCGGAACGGGATTTCACGCACCGGTGATCTCGAGCGATTTAGCGAAAGAACTAGAAAATACGATAAAAGAGCTACTTTTCTCTACTAACTACTAATACTTTATTGATCGACTTCATAAAACGAAGAGCAAATGTACATATTTATAGGATAAGTCCCACAAGCCCCTTTCCTCTTAAGACAAGGAAACCCAAACCTAAAGCCACAAGTAAACGAATACTTCCTAAACAAGATACGTAATAATAATCTGAGACCCAAACTAATACGAATAACCCGAATAATAACCGAATCCCAACAAATAATAATAATAAAATAATAATAATAATAATAATATTAATGGGCTCGGCCCAAGACGCCATCCCCCATCAATCCTCCCCCCTTTGAAGAACTTCGTCCCCAAAGTTCAGGTGCCATCTTCAACCTGGATCGATGAAGAAGAATCGTTCCCACGTATTGATGACAACAAAGAGAGTGGATACCAGTTGAAATCGATCTCGCTTACGACGCTTCCAATTAGGTTCGGGTACTTGAACCATGCTCCTATCACCGAATGCCATCAATTCCTCCTTCGCGCCACACTCAAGCTCCACTTTACCTACAGTAGCAGCCTTCCAATATGATGGGAGGAGGTCCACCACTTCCCAACTCCCCTCCTTCCAACACCCTTTTCCTTTTCCCAGCACCTCCTCGTGCATGAAATTATATATCCACCAATCCTTGTTCTTCCAACCCAAGCTTTCATGCATGCCCAATGTAAAGGAATCAAGCGGGCCTTGGACTAACAAAGAGTAGCTACCGCATACAATATGCTTCTTACTTACAACCTCACACAAAGCTTCCTCCTTCACACGAAACGCCATCAACTCGGCAGGTTTCCTTCTCCCTTCCCATTGCTCCACAACCTCTTCATCACTCCCAATCGATGTAGCTCGATTGTTCCACCAGCACCCTTCAGCTTGAGTCACGATTGCATTTGTAACACAATCAATCAATCCCATGTCGTCAATGCGGCCTGTAGAATTCTTCGGATCAACCCCATACTGGGTCCGATACAACCTTGAATGAAACCTCTTCTCCCGTTCCGCCGTCCTCCACCTTCCAATTTGCCGACTCCAAACCAAAAGCATCCTCTTGTACGACCGATCCAAGTCCTCCAGCCTTCGTCAAAACTTGCGGCTGAAATTCTACCTGCGGAGACAAGCGGTGCTCGTAGGTTGGATGGAGACCCCAAGTTGGGTTGCTCAGACATGGCGCCACCGGCTCTCGGCCTCATCCGGTATTTCCAATTGAGTTGAATAGGCAGCCGAAACAGACACGTTCTCGGATTCGTACTTGCACCCGCAAGGACATCAGCATGCGGAAATCTCTGCAATCTCAATGTCGAATGCGTTGACTTGGAACCCGCAGGCTTCTCGGTGGTGGCGGCTTCTCGCAGCTTTGGTGACGTTGGAGCGAGAGTTGGCCCTTTGTTTGGAGAAGCAAGGGCTGGCAGCTCGAGTTTGGCGGCAAACTCCTCTTGCCCACTCCCTCTACCAACAAGACCATGTTTCTCATCGCCTTCCTCCGTAGCTTCACCTCCCTTCAAATTCCCCGATGCAGCGCCACTGACGGAAAGGGACCCACTTAGTTGGCTTCGAATCGTGTCCTGGAGAAGCACTCCTCTCGCCTTGCCCTGTCCCTGTTCCTCACTATCATTGTTGACTTTGAGTCTTTCTCGTTCACACTCTTTTACGGTGATGGAGGGGCTACCATTATCTCCACTAAATTCCCCAAAAATCCCACCATTCCTTCATTCCAATTCTCCCGCGGTAGACTTCCCCAACTCCCGCGACTCTTCATAGGCGGCGGCAACGGACTCTGACAAGATCTTGTCTGTTGTCGTCCCTATTAATGCCCGTAACGTGACCCACGCCTTCCTGTGTCGGATGCGTAGGGTTGACTGTTCCCAATCGACAATCACCAGACTCGATTGGTAAAGCCACGGATTGCCAAGGACGACGTCGAATCCCTGGATTGGGAGCTCAAACAAGTCGACTTCCATATGCACTCCTTGTATTTCAATTGGAACCGCCTTGTAGCACCGGGAACATATGAAAGACTCTCCTTTCGCCACATCGACTCGGAACGCCGGGATAGGAGTAGCCGACAACAATAACCTTTCCGCAACTTCACTGTTTACAAAGTTGTGAGAGGATCGATTGTCAACCAAAGCTACTGTCGTCTCGCCTTGGATGGTTACAATGGAGCGAATAGTCGTCGACTGCAGGACCCCAGTCATGGCGTTGAGCGATACCTTGCCGTCGGGTGGTTTGGGTGGCTTGTCAAACTCTGCCGAAGCCCTCACGGACGCTACTCGCAAGCCTCCTCCCCAATGTTGTTGGTTGAAAGCCGGCGATGCGTGCCCTGGGAGCTGGTTGATGACCGGCGGTTGATGACCGGCGAGAACTTGAAATTGAAGCGCTAGCTCCTCGTCGCCGGCTGCGGTTGGTGATGATGGTGTCGTTGGCTGTTTGCGCGGTGGCATGGTCTCCTGGCTTGGTTCACTCGGAACCAGGCTCTGATACTAATTGATGCGGAACGGGATTTCACGCACCGGTGATCTCGAGCGATTTAGCGAAAGAACTAGAAAATACGATAAAAGAGCTACTTTTCTCTACTAACTACTAATACTTTATTGATCGACTTCATAAAACGAAGAGCAAAGTTACATGTTTATAGGACAAGTCACACAAACCCCTTTCCTCTTAAGACAAGGAAACCCAAACCTAAAGCAACAAGTAAATGAATACTTCCTAAACAAGATACGTAATAATAATCCTAGACCCAAACTAATACGAATAACCCGAATAATAACCGAATATCCCAACAAATAATAATAATAAAACAACAACAATAATAATAATATTAATGGACTCGGCCCAAAACGTCGTCCCCCATCATGTTGCTGACAATTTTCCCATCTCTACTAGTTTGCAACTATCATTTTAAATTAATTCAAACAATTAATTTTATGTTATTCCTTTAATCACTATTGCTCACAAAGTGGCGGAGGGAGGCAAGGAGGAGAGGGGTCCTAGGACCCCACTTGGCAAATAATTGGGCAACAAAACGCTTTAAATACATAGGTTTTAGTACGATAATTCAAGTTTAGGACCTCATACTCTCAACGATGTTAGCTCACCAAGGACCCCGGTTAACTCAAAATTCATCAGGTACACAAGCATTTATGTTAGTAAAATTTTAAGGACCCCAGTGGACTCGATGTCTGGCTACGCCACTTTATCAATCATCATTGTTATTATCAAGAATCTTCTACACTTACATTTGGCCGCAAATGCATATAAATCCAATCAAAAACTGATAATGGCCGCAAATGCATATAAATCCAATCAAAAACTGATAAAGCAACTCAAAGAACTCCTTGGTAATTGGTATATATAAATGTAGCAAAGCTTAGTTAGATCCACACATAAACATAAAAAATAAAAAAAAAAATCATCACAAATGGACCATGAACAGGGTTTCGATGGAGCTTCTTCCCGCCGCGAAAGCGTCTTCATGAGAAGACTTGGGAGGAGGAGGAGGATAACAGGATACCACCGTCTCCATAGCTCCCCCATGGCGATGGCGAGACGGCCAAAGTTGAAGGTCGCGAGGCTGGGCGGCATTGGTGGAGGTGGGAGAGGAGGAGGCCCTGCTCGCAAGAAATGGTGGCGCAGCAATATGAACATGTTGTCAGCTTTCCACAAGGCTTATGTTCGAGTGATGCTGAAACTGGCGGCTCAGTTTAGGAAGGAATGTCGGGTTTTCGGAGGGAAGAAGATAGCTGGAAGAAACCAGATTTGGGAGCTTCCAGGTGGGGACAGAATCGACGACAGAGTACTTGTTGAATTTTGTAAGAGACTCATGATGATGGCTTCTTCTGGTGATCATGATGCATCACAGATTATTATGTAATTAGTTAATTAATTAAGAGTGATTAAATTAAGCTACGTAGTGGCTCCTCTGTTTTTCCTACTCTGTTTTGGTTATAGATTCAGGGTATTATCGAACTGTAAATTGGCCACATACAGATGTTGTTGCCAAGACTGAAGATATGAAAACCGAGAACTGATTATGTTACATCTTTCATTTGATTCAACATTTCCTATAAGACTCAAAAAGTAGCAGAATCCCAATTGATCTATACGCTCACATTGGTCACGGGACCTCTAAACCACTTGTTGGCACTGAAAACCCATCACAAACAACCAGCAGAAACGAGAAAAGAATGGAGATAGTCACAACCCAGATCACAGCAATCCAACCAATCACAACGCCATATCGTCCCAAATGGAATGGCCCACCAACAAACGTTTCGCGACAGTTGCAACATTTGGGATGAGTATGGTCAAAAGCACAACACCTACAAGGTTCCAAGCAGCAGCCAACTGGTTGAAGAAGGACAACATGGAGATGGGGAGACTGTTTATGACCGCATGGAGGAAGAGAATGCCACCATGCTTGCAAAGCAATGACTACATATTTTGATGCTTTGTATCCACCGCCATTTTAACCACCAGTGCTCAGCAGAATGATCACTTGAATCATCTGTGCAAGCGAAAAATCGACACTAGTCGTGACAGCCCACTTCAACAAATCAACCGTGGACGAAAGTTCGTTTCAGCTAACGCTCATGGCATTTCTCTATATGACATAAACTGACACCACAACATTTATTAAATTAGTATTAGTAGTGGCAGAACGGTTTTCGGTTAGCAGTTAACAGGATGATTTCAACCGAACCGATCGGTTTTTCGGCTAACCGAAAACCGTCCCCAAGTGTCGGCGGTCGATCGTTGGAGGAGAAGGGAAGAGGTTTGGTTAGCCGATTAACCGTGATCGAAAACCGGTGGTTAACCGGCTAACCGAACACTTCCCCTTTCTCTAAAACGACCCCGCATCCCCACCCAAAACGAACCCCAGCCTCCCAAACCCTAATCCCAATCCCATTCCCCACTCCCCAACCAGGCCACCCCACCCCACCCCTTTCTCCCGCAGCCCACGACCACCCTCGCCGTCGCCGCCCTTCACCAGTTCATCGGCCACCCTCGCCGCCCCTCCTCCAGCCACCCCGCCGTCTCCTCCGCCTCCAACCGTCGCGACACGCAGGCAAGCAGGCTGCCTCCAATCGCGCGACGCGCTGCCCCTCCAGGCCTCCACCCGCTGCGCTGCGCCCCCTGCCATCTCCTGCCGCCTCCAACCGCCGCCGCACTGGGCGAACGCCATCTCCCTCCGCCGGCTTCGCGAGGAAGTCACTCCTCCCTCTCCTGTCGGTGGCAAGCCCTCCTGCTCGGCTGCTTCTTGAGTGGAAAAAGAAAGGAGAGAGAAGGATGGAGGAGAGAGACGGAGGAGATAAGGAATAAGTGGTAGTGGAGGGTTTGAATGGAAAAAGAAAGGAGAGAGAAGGATGGATGAGATAAGGAATAAGTGGTTAGAGGATTTTTGGATTTTTTAATTTTTTTTAATATTTTTTTTAGATTAGGGAGTGTTTTTCGGGTATGCGGCTAACCGAACCAAAACTGATAACCGACCGGTCGGTGAACGGCTAACCGCAGTGTCCCTCACGGTCGGTGGTCGGCAGCGGGAGGTGGTGGCTTGGTTTAACCGATAACTGAGAAATCGGTTTTCGGTTAAACCGAAATCGACTAACTGACTCCCCTAATTAGTATATACCTGGCCAACTATGTTGAACCTGCAAAATAGTACATAGTACAAACACAAAAAAGTGTTTTGTATTAGAACAAGTAATGTTATGAAGAACCAAGTTTTTAAACTTTGAATAGTTTGCCGGATATTAATCCCTTTTTAATTGTCCATATTGATCTTGTTAAAACCAAGGAATCACATTGTAGTCAATCATTTGGATCACTTTGGGTGATCATGACTATGTCATCATCTATCTAATCGATGATAAACTCTAATAAGCTAAAGTAAAAACAAGTCCCATATTGAAAAAGTCCAACCCTCCAATAATATACAGTAGAGTTTTGTCTATTTTTTTCTATTTCAAAGAGTGAAAGTAGGAAGGGGATTTTTGTCTTTACAATTAATTATTTATTCAATATAAAATGGTGCTTAATTGATACTGCACTTTTCATAGCAGAGTTTCATGTAGTTTCTCAATTCTAAAACCACTGCTCTCTCCTTAATTTTCGCTAATAGTAAATTGGTAATTAGCCAACATGGAAGAAACTAATTCTATTACTATGTGCTGTGTCCTTTCATTTTTCAATTTATATTCAAATTTGTAATTTTTTTAATCTTTGTCCTTATTTCTTTCTAACTTCCTCTGAAATTCCCTCCATCGTGCAATAGTTTGCACCTCTTTCACTTCACAGTACAAGGCCGCCTTTGAAAATCAATCTTCCGGTCTCTTGGCACTACGATTTTATTCTTGGGGATTTAAACTGGACAAGTAAAATATTTCAACTCTGATATCAATCCATGGCAAATAAAATGGATTTCAATATATGGAGGTGCAGAAGGAGGATTAAAACTGAATTTTTGGTTGAAACATACGCCTCATGATAACGCCCTAGATGGGTGTTAATGATCAAATTTGCACAGCGTCTCCACAAACAAAGGAATCACAAGTTCCTTCGTCTAGAACACATAAACAGGGTCTTTCAAACGAGCTTAGGTAGGCCAGTTTGAAAGTGAATTGGATGGAAATGAATGGGAATTCTTACACCTGGAAGAATGCACAATCGTTATGGTGAAGCTTTCGTTATAATCGAGTGTGATTGCTCGATCAATAAGCAGGTCAGCAAGTTTTGATCGCAACCAAAACCAACATCAAACTAACAATACGCAAGTTGGTAATTTTGGGGTTTTCTTCTCAATTCAACTCTAACTATTACAAAACGTGAATTAGGTCTTTTATAGGCTTAAACAATTACAAACAAACTAAAACAAGGACTAAAATTAACCTATTTAAACAAGGAAACTAATTAAACAAGTAATCCGCAACGGACTAGGAATCCTAATACGACTCAGATTACTGGAAGCTCGAGGTAGCTTCTTTGAGGCCCTCGAGAATGGTCTTCCTCGTTGAGTCGAGTTCAACCAATGCCTTCCTTGGGTTTATTAAGTCTTCTACTTTCCATTCCATCTTGAATCAGCCCGAGAACATACTCCAAACTCCAGATACAGGCCTTCAAAGTTGGTGTCTCAAAACAATGTTCTGCCTTAGCCAAATATTGGCAGTTTTTCTGTTTTGAGGTCGCCTCTTGACGAGCTTTGAAAGTGACCTTCCAGACCTCCCCGTGAGCTCCACAATATACCAATGTAAAGATAAAAACTTGTTCTTTAAACACCTTGAGCAAAAATTTATATCGAACCAATTGAGAGATATTGGCTTCCAAAGTAGGTAGCTTGAACTCGAAGAAACACTTAGCCAAATTCTTACCTTCTCCCTCCCAACTTCAATGGCTTCTTTGTCAAGTAATTGTGGGCTAAATATTGACCCATTTGGGATCATATCACCTCTTGAGATTGAAGATAGAGTGAATAAAAATTTTATCGTACAAGGGAGAGTGGTGGCTATTGGATCTTAAGATTTATGGTTTTTGAAGCTATCGCAACCTAATTCTATCTTAAAACGAGGAATTATCAATTGATTTACTGAAGTAGGCGATTCTTTATTCAATCTACTGGAACTAATAGAGAAGGAGTGTCTAATTTTGTTTCTTATTACTTTGATCGAGTCTATTAGTATATTGGAGGCAACCCTAATTTTTGCGTTTGCTCTCAAGTTGTGATGGTCCCACTTAGCTGAGTTGTTAGCATATAGTTGGCTTGAATCAACAACTCTCCATTTCTTTTTGATTAGTGGCGTATTGTTCCTAAAAGGAGAGCATTGAACCTTTATGTTGCGAGATTTAAGATTTAGTTTCAAATTATCTATGGTTCGTGAGGGAATTTTAGTGAGCTTTTATACTCTATCTTTTTTGACAATCAACTAACCAATAGCATTTTACCGGGGACTTAATTATCATTTTGAAAATGACATCAATGATATATTTTTATATTTCTCCAATGTTCGATCTATATATTCTTTCTTTATGTATCCTCTCGATGGAAGGATTGTTAATAAAATTAAACCACGTTGATAGAATTAAACGTAACATGAAAATATAAATAATCAAATATAAATATTGCTGCCAAAGGCCGGGTTATAAGCTAGTAGTTGAATATGTGGGACCCAAAACTGTCCTTGCATATATAAATGGAGAGAAGAGCATCGGTCCAAGAGAACCGCAGTCCAATAGTGAAAGATATCTTAGGACAAAGAACTGGACCAATAGTGCATTCGGTCCACTTTGGTCCTCTTTGGTATGATCCAAATATCAGTTCGGTCCATTTTTCTTCAGTATTTATAAAATTGGTTGGACCAAGAATCGGACCATATTGTATTCGATTCACTGTAGTTCGGTCCAAAATCGATTCGGTCCGGTGTGGTCCGGTATGGACCAACCCATTGCCCACCCCTAGAGACGACAACATTCATGGAACCTCAAAAATAAGAAAAATGGTTACCTTATTCTAGCCCAAACTAAACCCAGATAATCAACTTTGGCTCGTATTTTCAGAAATTGCTATTGTGGATTTAACTATACACATACATGGCTACTGGCTAGTTTGGTCCTGCTGCTACTTTTGTAAAAGAAGCTTCTGGCTTCAGCTTTTAGAGAAGTACTTTTCAAAAAAATCAATTGAGTATTTGGCTGAAAAATTATTTGAAATGCGTTTTAATATAAGAGGTCATGTTAAATTGATAAATATAATTTCTAATACATAATATAAATAAAATTAAAAAAATAAAAGTAATCAAAATTGATCTTGTTTAATTTCTTTTGTATTAAATAATTTTATTTTTGAATTTATTTTATTTTCAAATTGATATAAATGAAAGAAAATTATATTTTCTAAAATATAATTACAATATGCTATTTGCTTGTAATCTCATTTTCCCCTCAAATCTCCATTTCCCATTCCCATCCCGAAGCAAATCCTCTATTCATTCAAAACAAAACTGATGAACTACGGGATTCCGACAACATTGACAACACTTCCCTTTTGTTCTCCTTAGAAACCATGTGATAGTTAAAGCCTAATAAATCATGAGGTGAGAGTGAAATTGATTGAACACCTATTTAATTCGATTTATTCAACTTATTGTGTTACAGACTGCCCATGCAGCAACTCCGCCGATGCGTGCGTTTTGATTTTGGGTACCATAATTTTTACTTTGGATTTCAAGATTCCGGTATCCACCATCAGCTGTGACTCGATTTTCACTGGGTGATTGGGTTGACCTCCCACCCGATAAACCAATATGAGTGAAATCGAGATTGCTGGGGTCCACCGCCGGTGGCGATGCGAAGGAAATTTGCGAGGACCTGATTGAAGATGGAAGAGACACCAGGCTCAGATAAGTAATTTTCTGGAGTGGGATCGAAGTTGAACCATATTCAAGAGAGAAGTGCAGATCCAATTTGGGAAGCAGTCTTGTTCGTGAAGAATTTGATAGAAAGCTCTGGGAGGACTTAGAATTGAAGAATTGCATGTGGCTATATTGGTAAGAGACGGCGGGATAGTAGCGGTGAGATTTCCGGTCTGGAAGACAGAAAGCGAGGAAGAGAAAATCGCGAAAGACGGGGAAGTTCCTCCGAAGTTTATGGAGATAAAGATGTTTACTTTTCGGTAGAAGATTGGAAGACAAACAGATGCATTAGGAATTTACAGAAAAGCCCATATGCATTGTGTCGTCGTTTAGGCAAAGGCTGATGTGGCAAAAACATTTTCTTGACATTGTCTTATAGTGTTTTGTAGACAAGATAAAAGAAATGAGAGAGATGGAGGAGGAGGAGTGCGTGCATACCATCTTGTAAGCCAAGACGCAAAAGGCCCCCATTGGTTGCCACACAACTTTGCACTCCAGAAGTAAAGCCCACTGGATGTGGGATAAGCCAAGCAGATCTTAGCCATGGAGAGGGCCACCATTAGCGTGAGAGAGCCCACTATGGGCCAGCCGTAGATCATCGTTACATGCCCACCAAAACCCAAGCCCATATGGTACAGTGTGCTGATCCCCGTGATTATCGATATGATGTTGAAAATCGTCGTGAAACTCCCAATCGCCCTGCAATGCAAATGCGATTACTCATCTCATTCATTTCACTAAGCCAAACCACCCTCCATTGATTGCATTGTCATGATGAATAAAAATCTGACATAGCATAATTGAACCACCAATCCTTTTACGTATCAATTTTCAATTGTTTTAGCAAAAAAATCGGCTAAGGCAGAGAGAGTAGTAGCATTAGCAAGGTAAAGCTCTATCTAGGGAGGCAGAGAAGAAGGATATGCATGACAGATGGCGACGAGGTTCTTGCTTATAACCCAGCTCCTTCAACCGATTGTCATCGCCACCGGGGAGAGGTAAGTAAGGACCGCTGCTGCCGGCTGGATAATATTCTCGTTGTTGTGCTCCTCCTTCTTTATCTTCGCCCTCTGCATGTACACGCCTCCTAATGCCACTGCCATCACTCTCCATAGTTATCACTTCTCCAGAAGCAGAGCACAACTAAACAGAGGTGACCGTCAAATATGGATCTCAATAATTGAGATGGGATTTGATGGAGACCGGCGATAGATATTTATGGCGTGATAGGTGGGGTGGTTTTTCTTCTGTAGTTTATTCTTTATTGTTTAGGGCATTGGGGGAGTTTTTTCCAGAAATAACTGTAACATCCGAACCTTTTCTTAATGAAGATATTGTCCGCTTTGGGCCGCAACCTTCACGGTTTTTGACTTTAGGGCCGTGAGGGCCGTCATGGCTAACTCCAACTCAGATGGCCCCTCTGGTTATGGGAGGAATTCTTCTTGATAAGGAGATTGTTCTTAAGGTGCCCAAGGGTCAGTTTGTTCTCCGCGTAGGGGGTTGGTGCTGAAACCCGAATCCATAGTCTTCTCCTCCTTGATTGCGCCAGGAAGTCTCGGGGTAATACCACTCGGATGGTGGTTGATAACCCCAATGGTTAGAGAATCTATGAGGATCCATGTTTCAGATCTTCACAAAAAAACAAAAAACAAAACACCCAAGTGAAAAGCAAGGGTGAAAATAAAAAGAAAAACGCTAAAGTATGAAACTTCCGCCTTTCCTAATAATCTAGAAATTCTCTGGCAACAGCATAAAAAACATGACTCGCTAAAACACAAATCCTAACAATGGCCAAGTATAAACAATAAAAGGGAATGCAGTATAATGGCACAAGTCAGAAATATAGAATCCACGGGTCTCTAGAGTTACTATTACTCAGCTTCAGTTCATTATCTAGCAAACCAGATTAAGATAGAAGAACTATAACTACTATAGCAAACTACAATTAAAGTTAATCTAATTATAGGTTGTGAACTAACTCATGTATGATTCCCTCTAACTCCTCAATTAGGTCCAAATTGTAATTTCCTTTGATCATTTTACTATAGATGAAACTACTGAAGATCCGAAAAGAACTTGGAATCTCTTAAGCTAACCAAGCCCTCTTAGAAAAATTATCCGACAGGCGACTAGCCTTCAGCGAGATAGAATGCTAAGGCAATTCACACAGATCTCCACTACGTGGAACAAATTCTAGTACAAAGCAGTGAATTAACTTACTCTCGTAAAATCAATTCGCTACTATCAATCAAGGAAGCTCTCTTAACCTATTTTGATTCTATCTATCAAAGGTTAAAGCAGAAATAAAGAGAATTTGATCAAGATTCAATTGACTCAATAAAACATGCCTAATCGATTATAATCAAATAGTATAACATCCAAAGGTTCATACAAGAAATATCCTAACACGTGGAACTAGGTTCCTCAAAACTTAAGTGAAGGGAACTTACTCCATAGAGAAGAGAGAGAATGCAAAAATCTGATCTAGATCTTCAATCTCCATCTAAACTTGATTCCCGAGCTCCAATCGCGAAGAAATCCTACAAAATAGATCCAATAATGTTCCCAAATCGATCTCTCTCTCTCTAGGGTTCGTCCCTTTGGTATTTGGGAACCAAAACCCCGCTCTCTCCCTCAAAAAATCGCAAAAAACAAACTTTTACCCCAGCAGCAGGCAGAAACACGACTGTGTTTCTTAGGCCATGTTTCAGCCCTCCCCTTGTTTCTTCTCGTCACTAAAAAAACGGGCACATGAGAACAAAACACGATCGTGTTTCTCCTATCTATGCTTCTCCCTCAACTCTTGTTCCACTGTCTTTGATGCTTCATTTCTCCCTCATCCGGACTCCGAATCAGTCGTCGTATGATACCAAACGCTCATAATCTCGTTATGTATTTTAATGACAAGCTTACATGATTCTTTTTCCATAAATTGAGGTATTAATCCATTATTCCTTAGGTCATGCCCGAGTTTCTTCTTCCGAATCGCAAATTGATCTCCGATTGACTTGAAACTTGCGCTTATGCTTCACTTTACGTGCTAGGACATGAAATATGACAAAAGAGCACAACCTAGCATAAAATAGGCCAAGAAAGCACAAACTCGATAAAAAACTATCAAGAAACGAGGGTGCAAATATGATGCTATCACATCCTCTTGTGGATCCTCAAGAAATTTCTCTTCATTTGCTTCTACCTCCTCCAAAACTTCTTCTCTCATCTTCCCTCGCTCTTCCTCATCACCTCATTAATAACCTCCTCTATAATGCTTGAGATGAAGTGCAGTGACTCCTCAAGAGGACATTTCAGTTCTTTAGCATCACGGTGGCCATCCATGACAACTTCTGACCGTTCCAATTCATCCTCGAGGCTTGCCTCTTCATCTTCCTTTTCTTCACCAACTGTTAATAATTGTTCTTGAGTGAACCATGCACAAGATTCCTCAACCATCGAGTTTAGCTCCTCCGTTCTCTTGCGTATTTCCTTCGCTTCATAGAGAAAATCCGAGTGAGGTGGATCGATGGTTGGGAAGGCCGGTTCAGAGTATGATTGCACATTATCTGATGCGAACTTCTCTACCAATAGCTCCAATTGGCTCTTCACTTTATGTTGTGAAGGGTAATCTTGATAGTATGGTTGAAACTCTTAAACATCTGGGGCATATGATTGTTCAACATGGAAAGGTTGTTGGTAGTCGACCCCGAATCTGTAGTCCTCTCCTTCTTGATAGCTCTATGGTGAATTGGGGTAACACCACTCGGGTGTTGGTGGATAACCCCACGTGTAGGAGAAGCTATCGGGATCCATAGCTCAACTCTGCATCACAAAAAGATGAAAATACAAAACAAAACAAAAGACAAGATAGAAAATGCTAGAGTAACAATAAACAACTTTTTCTCGATAATGGACCATAACCTCTCCCCGGCAACAATGCCAAAAATTTGACTCACTCCAACTACCACAATATAAAATCCTGACTTGAGCCCAAGTATAAACTCTAGTAGGGTGCAGTATAGGGCAAGCATTTAATTGTCAACCCGGGTCGGTCTATAATCCCCTACTTCAATCGCTTAGGTTGTTATCTAGCAAGCGGTTTTGGGTTAAAACTAAGAAAACTAAAAATTAAACAAGCAAGCAAACAAATTAAATTATGGAGAATTCTACTTGAGATGACTTCACCGGGTATTGCTCCCCCTAGTCCTGCATTAGGAAACAATGAATGAAACTTTAGTGTGAAGGGTGTGTTTATATACCGTGAGGCAGGTGCAACTAGCTAGGAAGCCCTAACTCTCTTAGTCTAACAATTAAGGGTTGCAACTAGCTAGGAAACCCTAACTCTCTTGGCCATTCATCTGTCCGACTTGAGTATAAAGGGAGAGAAAGTTGAAATCAAAGGGGGAGGAATCCTAGTGAGAGAGAGGTCTTCTTATATAGAAACTATAGAGAGAAAAATCGACAAACATAGGAATAAGAAGAGGATTAGGGTTTGCTCCATGGTTCTTTCTCTCCTCTTTGTTGTAATCCCTAGCCTAGCTATGGATTAGTTCTCCTTCTCACTTGGGTGTAGTGAACCCTAGCCTTAGAGATTTGATAGGTTGTATGGATTTAATATTATGTGTATGGGGTTTGTGTTTAATGCAATGTTTGAGGTATGTTTAGAATTTTGAGTATTGTTCTTCATGTCTCATAATTAGGTCAAATTGACCTAGGTAGAGGAGTCCTCTTTTTGAGGCTCCAAGGAGTTGGATTTCTTGACCATTTGGGTCACCCAATTAGGGCTATTGAGGGCAAGCCTCAAACATCGATTTAGTGCCATGAACCCACCATGATAGGTGTTATTTCGCCATCTGAATTAGGTTCTGAGGGAGTACTCTTAGCAACCCTAAGTCATTTAGTCAAGAGAGCTAGTTTCCTAGCTTAATTCGATATTCCTTAGCTAATCGTCTAAGAGACTAGAATTTCTCCACTACTTGCAACCTCCTCACGGTGATGAGACACCTTTACACATTATCATTTCTTTCAGTCAATCTTGACACAAGGCTAGGGGGAGCAATACCCGGGTGAATTCTTCGCTTATTGAAACCACGTCAATTTACTTTCTTTTCTTGATTATAACTGTAGTTCTTTAGCTTTTAACCCAAATCGTTAGCTAGATTACAGTTTAAGAGATTGAAGTAGGAGTACATGGACCACCTCACATTAACAATTAAAACACTTGCCCTATACTACACCTTTGTAGAGTTTGCACTTGGGTTTTAATCGGGATTAAATTGTGTAGTTAGGAACGAGTCAAGTTTTTGGTGCTGTTGTCGGGGAGGTTTTGGTAACACATAAAATAGGCATTATTAAGCCCTTATTCTTAAGGCATTTGCATGTTAAATCACCGTGTCTAGGCCACATAGCAAGTTATCTATGCATATTTTCGTTCCTATTTGCAAAATATGTATTTTGGCATATGTATTCTCTATATGAAGGTTTTCATAGGGGAATTGACCCCACTTTGTTATATTTGATGCTTTTTATAGTCTTTGTGATGAAATGACAGGTCTTATATTCATATGGGATTGATCGAGAATGATACGATCACAAATTACTTACATTTGAAGCTTTCATGGATTGATCAAGAAGCTATTTCGATAAGGAAGAAATAATCTAAAATTTGGCTAAGTCTTTCCTATGTTTCAGGTTGTCGACTTTGGAGGCTTGGTTCTTTCAATTCGCCCGATGAAAATTCGAGTTTGATGGCTTGTTTTGAAGGTGGAGTATCCCTATGCAAGATGGATGGCCTAGAAGTTCAAGATGAAGTCTGGAAGGCCATGATTGAAACTCTCCAAGTTGCCAAGTCAAAGCCGAGAATCTGCCTATTTTTGGCTAAGGCAAATAACGAGTTCAAGGTGCCCACTTTTGAGCCTAATATATGGAGTTTGGGACACATCCAGATGCTGATTCGAGTTGGAATGGAAACTAGAACACTTTCTAAACCCAGGGAAGGAATTGGATGAGATTGATTCATCTTGAAAGACCATTTTCAAGGATCCCGAAGAAGCTCCCTCGAACTGCCAGCAGTCCGAATCCCATAAGGATTCCTAGTCCTATTCGGATTACATGTGTAATTTAGTTTCCTCGTTGAATTAGGTTAATTTTACGTAGTCTTTAGCTTTGTTTGAGTTTGTTTAAGCCTATAAAAGGCCTCAATCGTGTATTGTACAAATCAGAGTTGATTTGAGTAGAAAACCCCAAAATTCCCAACTTGTGCATTCTAAGTTTGTTTTGGTTTTGGTTGCGATCACAACTTGCTGAAACTAGCCTATTAATCGAGCAAACCAGTGAAGGCAACCTTATAACAATAGTGGAATCTGCCAAGTGTGAGATTCCCCCTTTGTTTCCATCCAATTGAAACTCTAACTTGCTTACCCAAGCTCGTTTGAGAAGCTCTATTTCCGTGTTCTTGACAAAGGAACCCTCGATTCCTTTGTTTGTGGTGAAGGCGCGTGATTCTGATCAATAACACCCATCTAGTCCGTTATCAAGTGGCAATCAGAGCTTGGTTCTACACAGTGGCGATGAGTTCAACAACGGAGGGAGGCGGCGCCGGCAAGACGCACTAGACAAGGTCTAAGGGCCCTGTTCTGGAAGAGCCCTATGTATTGGTTTCAAAAAAGAAAAAGAAGAAGAAATAGGAAGCTGTGGCGGCGAGTCAATCGACGGAGGTCGGCGTCGTGACTAATAGAGGCGAGGAAGAAGCTACAATGGGAGAGACCCGACCCACTATGATGCCAGAGTTGTAGCAGTTCTTCCAAGAGCAGGTCGTTGCTCTATTCCAGACCTAGCTGACGAAACAAGATGAGAAGTTCCAGGCTTTGTCGACCAAGTTCTATAACCTAAGTCAGCGGGTGGAGACGATGAGCTAGTAGGGAGGAACGGCTACGACGATGCCCACTGAGGCCGACGTTCATCAAGAAATCATCATCCGCCGGTGGCCATTCCTTAACAATTTGATGAACGACCGGTTGGGAACCTAGAACCAGATTCTATGCTGGCAGGACGAATTCAGGAACTCGAGAGGCAATTGATGGCCCTCGAAGTTCATCCAATCGACCAACGGCCACGAAATCAACAACATGTAGATTTTCCCTGCCCTGAGCGTGAAACGAAGGAAGCTCCGGTGTCAGAATTGCGAGGGAGAAATCTCTCAATCCCAATTTTCCAAGGAACGAACAATGCTTCTTCTTATCTAGATTGGGAGAGGAAAATCCTCTTGTTCTTCTAGTGTGGCGAATATACCAAAAACCAGAAAGTACTCTTGGCCAACTATGAGTTTCATGACTATGCTGCAACTTGGTGGGAGCAGGTTCAAATTCGACGACGGCGTAACTTGTAGGCATCAATATTGACTTGGGAAGAATTAAGAGGATTGATGAGGGAAAAGTTTTTGCCGACCTATTATTGGCGTGAATTACATGAGGCCCTGCAGACAATTCGTCAGGGTTCACGATCTGTTGATGAATACTCCAAGGAGCTCGAGTTGCTCCTGACCAGAGCCGACAACCGGGAGGATTCAGAGGCCACCATCTCGCGTTTCTCGTGTGGGTTGAAAAAGGTGATCAAGTATGAGGTATAATTATGCCAATTTGTTGATCTAGAAGATGCAATCCACCTGGCATTCTAGATCGAGAAGAAATTGAAACATAGCGCGGGAAGGCGATTTTCTACGCCAAGACAGAGCAGCAATTCCGAGCCTGCTCCGGTCGCTTTTCCCACTGCAAACCGACCCTTACAATTGAAGAAAATTGCTCCATAAGGCAGCCATGATTGTGCTGGAAGCTCGATGAGTAAGCTCGAGTGTTTTAAGTGCCATAGTCGAGGGCACAAATCCTTCCAATGCCCCGATACGAAGACACTTGTCCTGCGTGATGGAGAATACTACTCCGAGAGCGAGGAATAAGAGAAGCACCCTAAAGAAGAATCCACTAAAGAAGAGGTTGAAGAGGCCATTGAGATGGAGACTCTAGGAGGGGATTTCCTCGTCAACATGAGGGTTCTCATAGTTGAACCGGTTAGTGAAACCCAGCAACGATCCATCTCTTTCATACCCGCTGCTAAATTCAAGATAAAAGGCATCAATGGGGATCGACGGCGGACATTGTCCCAATGTCGTCAGCTTAGAGACAGTAAGGAAGTTTGGGATAAGCACGTTGAAGCACCACGTGCCCTACAGTCTTCACTGGCTCAATGACCATGAGGACGTGAAAGTGACGATGCAGGCGTGAGTCGAATTCGAAATCTATCAGTACCAAGATCGAATTATCTGTGACGTAGCACCAATGCACATTTCCCATAAACTTCTGGGAAGACCATGGTAGTACGATCGAGGGGTCACCCACCATGGCCAATCGAATTGCTATACCTTCTCGTATAAAGGGAATAAGTTGAAATTGAGTCCTCTGTTGCAAACCGAAGTGCATAATGATCAATGATTGCTGAAGAAGATTCGAAATCAAGGAAAGGAAGAAAAGGGTATAGAGGTGAGCCTAATTACTCAATGGCTGGTTCTTAATGCTCTCCAATGCGATAAACACGCACACCAGCTTACGAGACCGCAGCTTTGTTCATCGTTGATGCCGAGACAAAGGACGAAAGAGGGTCTATTGGGTGGGGACCTGGGAAGCAAGTCGACCCAACCCAACACTGCAGGCACCTTCCATGACTTCCCCCGAAGCTCTCATATGGATCAATTGGCATTGATTCACCACCAATTCACGAATCGAGATCGAGCCAAAATGCCCCTGGAAATGAGCAAACTCCAACAAAAATCGAGGTTATTGGTTGGCGAGTTTGGAAACAATTTGAACCAATTGGCCGTTGCGAAATCGTTTGGAAGCGTAAGAGCAAGAAGGGGAAAAAAATCATAGGTCACGACCTTGTCACAGTTGTGACCAGGCGGTGACCATGTTCGTGGCTTTGAAGATCTTGGTCGTGAACAGTGGCCTAGAACTTTAGTAGGTAGCCATCAAGAGCAGAAAGTTTCGACACACGACTCGAAGTATTGGTGCTTTTCGACTGCCAAAAGGATCACTCCCGTGACACAAAATATCACGGTCGTGATCTCATGAAGGAGGTCACGATCTAGGAACTTGAAAACGAGACAAAACATATCGTTTCGGGCGATTCGAAGAATTTCTAGGATGGTCATGGCCAGGTCACGGCCGTGAC